TGATCTCACAGTTCATGGGTTCGAGCTCCGTGTCGGGCTCTGTGGTGACAGCTCAGAGCCTGGAGCCTGCTTTGAATTCTGTGTCTCCCTCTCTCTGCCCCTTCCCTACTCACACTCTGTCTCTCTCTGTCTCTCAAAAATAAATAAACATTGAAAAAATAATTTAAGCTACTCAGTCTATGCTCTTTTTAAAATAGCAGCCCCAGGTAAGACAAGTAAGAATACAGGTAGCTTTAAAGAAGGAAGATCATCAAAACTGAGATCAGAGAGGCTTGGGACAGATCTAAAACAGCTTTAAAAGAAAATATGGAATTTATTTGGGAGGCCACCAAGCTTTTGAGTACTATAGAAAAATGATTTAATATACTCTTTTTTTTTAGAACCATTTTAAGTTCATAGCAAAATTGAGCTAACGGTACAGAGATTTCCAATATACTTTCTTCCTCCTACATGCACAGCCTCCTCCATTAGCAACATCCCCCACCAGAGGGATACATTTGTTACAACGGATAAACCTATATTCATACATTATAATTACCCCAAATCCACAGTTTACATTAAAGTTCATTCTTGGTGGTGTATATTCTATGGGCTTAGGGAAATGAATAATGACATGTATCATCCATCACTACAGTATCATACAGAGTAGTATCACTACCCTAACACAATTATCCTATTATTTTAAATTTTAAAATAAAAACCAGAATAAATGAAGGCCTGTAAAGCTTCTCAATACCAGGAAGACAGTTTTCATGTTAAAGGAAAGCACATAGGGGACTTCTTTCTTCTTTTGTGCATATTTGAAAATTTTCAGGAAAAAAAGCTTTGATTAAAAGGAGGAAAAGCATGTCTTTAATAGGTCACCTACACAAAGATTTCATAGAAATGCTTGCACATTCAGGCTTTAGCTTTCTCTTTAGCCACACTGCCCCTTAGAATACATAGCATTTTCCATCCTGGAGATATGGAGGACATTGGGAAACCTCTGATGAAGACGAGAAAACTTGCTACAAGAGGCAACTCTGGAGCACCTGGGTGGTTCAGCTGGTTGAGCATCTGACTCTTGATGTTGGTTCAGGTCATGATCTCACTGTTGTGAGACTGAGCCCCACATTGGGTTCGAGACTGAGCCCCACAATGGGTTCTACACTGACAGTGCACAGCCTGCTGGGAGAGTGGGAGAGACAGAGAGAGAGAGAGAGAGAGAGAGAGAGAGTCTTAAAGCAGGCTCCCAGCTTAGCACAGAGCCTGACAGGGGACTCAATCACACGACACTCAGATCATGACCTGAGTGGAAGTCAAGAGTTGGACACTCAACCAACTGAGCCTCTCAGGCACTCCTGTACACTTTAAATACATGAAGTTTATTGTATGGTAAAAAATCTCAGAAAAAAACTGTAAAGGACATATTTCCCTTCTTCTCCAGTTATTCTTATTTTCAGTGGAAGTTCCTTAGCTTTGTATAGCTAAATTCTCTTTTTAAATTATCCCTCTTTCTACAAGTCAAGCTTTTAAAAAATCTAGCAACAACAAAAAATTCACTTTGAAAAAACAAAATACTAGGTTATAAAATTGAGAACTCTGACCAATCTATACTAACCAATGTTGCCTCAAAAGTTGAATAACTGGAAAACCACAGCAAAGGATGCCAACCACAAACCTAAACCCTAACCTTAACCCTGACCCTAAACCTAACTCTACCCCTAACTAGTAACCCCTAAATTCTACCCTAATCCTAACTGTAACACCAAATCTAACCTCTGGAGAGGTCTCTGAACTGCAGGGTATGAGGCATATACTCCTACCCTAATCCTAACCCTAGCTCTAAACCTAATTCTAACCCAAACCTGAACACTAACCCTAACCCTAACCCTACCTCTAAAGCCATTCCTCTGGAGAGATCTCTGACCTGCAGGATAACAGGCACATAACCTCACTCTGGCCCTAACCCTAACCCTTATTTTAGCCCTAAACTGAACCCTAATCCTAGATCTGAGGGGAAAAAAAGAGTTGGTATATACACACACATACACATCCACAATGGAATAGTATTACTCAGCCATAAAAAAGAATGAAATCCAATGACATGGATGATGGAACTAGAGAGTATTATTCTAAGTGAAGTAAGTCAGGGAAAGACAGATACCGTAAGATTTCAGTCATATGTGGAATTTAAGAAACAAAACAAATAAGCCAAATGAAAAGAAGGAAGGAAACAGAATTTGTAGTATTTCTGAAAATAGGTGTGTACAGATCAAAACAGTTAAAAGAGAAGAAAACCACAGGAAAGGAACTTGGCATTATTAAAAGTAAATGTACGATTTCCATTGTTTCAATACCAAAACTAGTCATTGATTTCCTCAACTCATCTACCAGTATTATCTCTGAAGTATCCCCAGGGACTTGTCAATGTGTTTTCTAATCTAAAATTGTCCTCTTATATAAGTCTTAAACAAACTTACTAAAAGTACTTCACCAGAACATACCCTAAAGTAATTTTATCCCCAAAATGATCACCTTATTCTGTATTGACAATCACATGCAGCTCAAACTGGTTTTTGGTTAGAAAGCATGTATGAAATAATAATTACCAGAAAAAATATGCAATAATTAACTATTAGGACACTGAAAGTTAAGAATATTTTATATGAATAAACAACTAGCATAAACTTCCTTTGAAAAAAAATTTTTTTAATGTTTATTATTTATTTTTGAGAGAAAGAGAGATAGAGCGTGAGCAGGGGAGGGGCAGAGAGAGAGGGAGACACAGAATCCAAAGCAGGCTCCAGGCTCTGAGCTGTCAGCACAGAGGACAACGCGGGGCTCAAACTCATGGACTGTGAGATCATGACCTGAGTCGAAGTCAGATGCTTTAACCAACTGGGCCACCCAGGCATCCCTAGTATACTTCTTCAATATCATCCATGTAGGCAATGAAAAACAATGGGCAATTCGGATCTCTTAGCTTCGATGAGAAAGATTAAGTTCACATCCCAATGCCTTTGATCAAAAAGTGATCTTGTCCTTGGGACGCCTAGGTCGCTCAGTTGGTTAGGCGTCTGACTTTGGCTGAGGTCATGATCTATGTTTGTAGGTGAGTTCAACTTGTGCTGACAGCTTGATGCCTGATGGAGCCTGCTTTGGATTCTGTTGTCTCCCTCTTTCTCTCTGCCCCTCCCCTGCTTGTGCTCTGTCTCGCTCTCTCTCTCAAAAATAAATAAACATTAAAAAAAAAAAAGAAGAAGTGATCTTGTCCAAACTGGGAAGATCACCTCTGCATTGCTGACTCTGCAGATTAGATAGGTAAATAGGAGCAGAACAGAAGCCTACCTGGTCAGATCAGCAAATAAATTCCCATGACCTACACATCAAGAAGGGGTAGACATAAAATCTGAATCTTGATAGGACTTGAAACATAGACCAGCAAAACATTTTACAAAAGGGACTTACTGTACTTTTACTATTAGGAGGATAAAGACACTGGAACATCTGGAGTGATGAGTGAATGACTAATGTAGAAAGCTTAATGACCATTTAAATATATATATATGAAATACACACATGTATTTTGATTTACAAAATGCTTTGAATTAACAAGCTTTCCTAACACAAGGTCTCCAGATTACTCATTTCCTAGGAATTTAAGTGAGGACTAGCTCATTTGTCTTCATTCTATTAAAATCAAGGTACTACATTTGAAATGAGGCCTCGTAAATCTCTACACTGATTTAGCTGTGTGACCATGGGCAAATTACAGATTCCCTCTGGGCTAAAAGTGTGTGATTCTAAGATGTAGAGAAATCAAGAGCTTGAGTCTCACAAGATCTATGACTCCCACAGCAAGACCAAATAAGGTTTCCCATAATCTATATTTCCTTCCAGTGCCTCTCTTGATAACCATAATTTTGTAATTATTTTTTAAATGACCACAGCAGATTACACAAAATACTTGACCCTCTAAAATCTGTTCAAGTCTTCAAGAATATAATCTGTCCTCATTGAGCCTCTAGAGTATGGTAAGCAGCCATTAGTGACTGCTCTTCCCCTATGCTTTTAACGATAATGGTAAAATTTTTTTACATACCCATAGGTGAAAATAATTGCCAAGTAACTTTTAGTCCTAAATACACATTAAATACTTGTAACCATTTATTCCTAAATACACTTAAAATGTCATCCTAAAACTGAATGTGCATGGTAGTCTACTGTGGGATTGCTTGATGTTTTGGCACCTAAACCTTTTCACTATTAGTCATTTATTTCAAGCTACCACTAATTTACTTTTCCAAAAAGGTCTTAATCCATAGCAGTAAGGGATAGATTCCTTCAAAATTAAAGAGACACTGGGTCTTATGAATCAAAATAATTTTTTCATTATTATTAAATCTTAAAAAGTGGAAAATAATATTTAGATATTTTGTATTTTAAAAATTATGTTATGACATTAAGTAGAAAACCAGAAAGAACCATGAGAACGTGTAGGAAAATACAGCAGAAATACCCCAAAATGCTGAGAGGTTGTCCTTGACGGTGAAGACTATCAGTGGATTTTAGTTCTTTTATATATATCCATTTTTATAACAGGGAAAAAAAATCTAAATAAATAGTTGACTTATAAAACGTGTAGGGTATCCCTCCACTAAAGTCACAAAGATTATAACACCAGAGAAGAAGACACTGACATAGGAACGAAGAGTTTTGTGAACATGCTAACAGATATACAGTTAAATATTACAGAACACTCCACAAAGAGGAGAACCTTATCTGATAATCATAAAAAACCTACAACAGCAAAGAACGGCACGTCATTTCGGCTCACGTCCCTCACAATTGGAACGTGGCTCAAATAAATCCCACTAATTATAGAACCTCAAACACTCAATCCCAACTACTCCAACACTCTGGCAGGCCGCCCCCCCACCCCCCTCGCCGCCGCCGCCCAAGTGTACACTCTCTGGATTGAAAGAATGGACTTAATTGTCCCTCTTCAAGAATCTTACTCATAATCACTACTGGTTGAGGAATATGAACCCGAGTCGTTGACCCGATCTTCATAATCGCAATCCTCATCTTCTTGTGAAGAATGGTCTCCAGGGAGCTCATCTGGGCTCTGACGGGAACCATACGAAACTGGAGACGCCATCATCAAGGATGCAGTAGTTACTAGTAGTGTTAATTCAAATCTCGCAGCAACGGCTCGCCGTAGCCGCCATGTTGTCTCCGCTAGGGAAAGGGCAAAGGCCACGTGACCGCCAATCCTTGGCTGCAATTGGTGGCAGCTTGAGTTGCCAGGGAGACGAGGAAGCTTTCCCGAGAGCGAGCGAGAGAGAGAGAGAGAGAGAGAGAGAGAGAGAGAGAGCGCGCGCGCGCGCGCGCGCTACTGAAAGAAGCCAACGAGGTGAAACTTCCAGGAGGGCGTCTCAGTTGGAGGAATATAAGTAGTTAAAAACTTCACCACTTAGAGTCTCCTAAACGCACTCCTTTAGAGTACTATAGTTTATTAACAGCGGAGACCCATTTTTTTCTTCCCTTTTTCTAGTTTGCACTTTGCCCTATGTTTCTAAGCCGAACAGCTGCCCAAAGCCTTAGAGGCACTCAGCTTGGGGTTCCCATGAAGTAAAGGAAACTCCTCCGTACCTTTCCCCAGGGCCTCTGCATCTGTGCTGGGAAGGGAAGCTTTTAAGCAAAGTCCACTAGGTGTAAATGTAAATACGCTCCAATGTTTCTTTGGTTTTCTTACTGTTTCACAGTTGCAAACATTTGTATAGTTTTCCCTAGCAAATGTTGTAAATTGCTTAAAATAAGAGGCAATGTGAAATCAACCGCACGTTCATTTTGTAATTTTATAATTTGATGAAGTATTATCACTGAAATTGGAAATGTAAACTGGTAAATTTTATCGGTAATTTACGAATACCTACAAGTATTTTTTTCTAAGTACAAAATAATAGCTAGCCTTTATTGAGAGTCAGCCATTTCTCAAATTACTTGTTCTATTGATATACTATACTACGTATTCACATACTATGAAGTAAAGATCCTTATACTAAAATAAGGAAACTGAAGCTTGGGTTATTCATCTTAATGGTCACATGGCTAGAAGGCAGCCAAGCCACACAAAAATTGAACCTGTCATTAACTACTTGATTATATTTCATCCTCAGGATCTAGTAATTCAACTATTACAGATCTATTCTAAGAAAATAAAGGTTGTAAAAACAATTATAAAGTTTGTGAAAGTGGAAAGCTGAAAGCAATCTAAATATTCAACAATAGGGGAAAAGTTAAATAATACACTTTTCTATATGAAATATAAATATTATGATAGAAGTATTTTCAAAGAATAATGCAAGGGGGAATATTCATGTTATAACAAGTTAAAGGATATAATATTTTATGATCTCAATGGATGAGTGCTGGAGATTCAACTTAAATTACATTAATTCTAAATGTGTTTTTTCATAGTTGTATACCAGCTATTGAATATTGTTTTGTCTTAATTTGAATCAATTTATAAAATTGTTTTTATCTTATATGAGAGCTATAGAGCATAGAGCTTATAATTGTTTATTTACATTATAATTTTAAAAAGTTTAATTCATTCCTGGAAGTCCACAACAGATTTTTTCCTTAAAAGAGGTCTATCTATCATTCAGACTGGAGCACAGGGGACTAGTTCATAACAGGATAATGGGGCAAAAGAGGTCCTTGAGGTAGCAGGAGAATCTGGTGTCTACCAGACAGATGGAAGGACATGACCTTGCTGACATGTCTTCTTTAAAACTGGATCCTAAATGAAGGTGCAGGTGTGGATGCTGATTTGCCAGTTTTAGTCAGGAAGTTGAGACACTCTCCATACATAATGGTGTTTATTTTCTCAGGTAAGTAGAAGGTAACCTTGTCAGGTGAAAACGAAGGAGGGCAATGGAGTTAGAAGTTTGAAGAGAATGGATCCCCAAAGGAAGGGAAACAAATATTTCCATCAGCACTGAGGTCCAAAAATGTAGTTACTTTTAAAATCAGAGAAACAATATTATTTTTTAAAAAGTTGGAATCAATATAATAGTTATACTTGTTTCATGTTAAAATATACGTACTTATTCTCACCACAATCTCCAGTGATAAAAATGTTAATATTTTAAAAGCATCTTATTGGAAGTAAAAAAAAAAAAGACATTCTAAATATTAACAAAAAAACCCACATTTCTGCATATAAATGACACTCTTTTTTTTCTCTATAAACAGCTAATGATTTCATGCGCTGCTCAAAAACCTTCAACGCCACCCCATTAGAGAATAAATTCCAAACTAGGTAGTCTCTTAAAAAAAAAAAAAAAAAAAAGATTCCAATTCTACAAACAATTGAGCACCAATTAGGAATTAGACGCTTTATTTCCTGCATTAATCAAGTTAATCAAGTGTGCCCAACTTGCCAGATCAAAAGAACCCCTGGGGTTCTTGTTAAACATAGAGATTTTAAGACCTGTCCCACCTCAAAAGGATCAGAATCTCCAGGGAAGTTGCCCTAGAAATCTCTGTTGTAAACAAATGCTCTCACCCCTCAATGATCCCTAGATTAAGGTAAACTTGGGAAACACTGCCCCAAGCCTCCCCTCAGTTCTAATTCTTCATATCTGCAGGCCCACTGACCGTTTCCACAATAGGCTAGAAACCACTCCCACCTCCTGATTTTGAGCCTGGCAGACAGAGCAAATCAACCTCTCCAAGCTTCACTTTCTTTACTGGTAAATTCAGATATTGATATGTACTTCATAGGACTGTTTGGAGGTCTAATAAGTCAATGTAGGTAAGATACCTAGCACATAAAGTATCAATAAAACTTAAAACTATTTTATGGATCATTTATTTTACTCATGCAGTTCTCTCATTGTGAAATGCTACATTTTCCTTCAAGACCCAATTCTAATAGTACCCTTTTCAAGAAGATTTCTCACACTCTTTTCCTATCTCAGTGACAATTCTTCTTTCCACCTTCCCCTCATATCTAATAAAGTTTTATAACGAGTATGTCTGCCTAATGTCTAAATTATTTAGGAATCTTTGCTACCAAATGACAAATTCCTGGAAGTTATAACTGGGTCTTTTTTGTTGTTGTTTTCAATCTTTCATCTTACATAAGGTTGAACAAGAGCAAGAGGTGCCACATAAAAGTATCTTTTACGAAATCTTCACACTAGATATGTCTCTGAGTTAACTTCCTTGGCTAGTCTACTTCCATATGTTAGATTAAAAGACAAAATCTGCACCCCCAGAAGGATATCACTTTCCTGATCTTTCACAAAAGAAAAAATAAGAGCAATCATTTTATATTCTTATTTAAATCTTCAGGGTGTGAAGCTTATCAGATTTCTAACTTTATATGTCATATTTGTACTAAATTAATATTTAACAACCTTAGATATACTAGAGAGGATGAAGAATGGAAAAGATTAACTTGCTATTTTCAGGGCCTTTTAAAAAATACTGACTTTGTTTTATACTTAGCAATTGCTGGTGACTTACAAGAGACTGGGGTATATTCTCAATTTTTATTTTCCATTACACAGATGGCCAGCCATCTCTGAGAACTAAGTATGTTTAGTTTAATATATATATATGACATAAAGTCCTTATTTTCATATTTTACTCCCTCAATTAGGCAAACAACACAACTGTGACATAAAATACACCAGATAAGAACATAATTAAATATTTAGTATTTTTGGCAGGTTCAAGAGTTCTTTGCCTGGTGGTAACGGAAGCTAGCAATGAGAAGTAAATGAAAACAGGGCCACATGAGGTCATGTCCATTAAAAAATTTTAAACTGCAAGGTAAAAATTTACAGAACTTAGCATTGTTAGAAACTAATACCATCTTAACTATGAACGTCGAAATAATTCATGAGGGGTGTGGTAATCCTGACAACCCCAATCATTTAAAAAATGATGAATAATAATTTGGTAGACCAGCAAAACAGCATTTTAAAAACTGAGGCATCGTAATGTAGGATTTTTAAAATTTGAGATAGTCATAAATGAATAACATTTCAGCAATCCAATGTTTATAGAATTGGATTATGATCTAAGATTCTAATTTTCCTTTATAAAAATTGAATTGCCTGTTAAAATGTTTAGAACTTGTTCCATAGAAATCATGCATTCTCTATTTGAATAATAATGAAATACAGATGAGAACACAGAGGTAAACATAAAAGTAACTGAGGTAGATGGCACAAAGCTCAACCCCAAACCCTTCATTTACTCCTAGTTATTCTCATTTTATACTTTCATTTACAAATTGTAAAAAGTTGATGAAATGTTCTACCGCCATAGATCAGTAGCTGCCAACCAGAAGGAAGGGAGGCCTCCTTAAAACGGGAATACAATAGCAGCAGAAATTGTTGATGGCTGACAATCTGCCAATGAAGAGCAAAGTCAGAAACAAAAAGCAGACACAAGAATTACAAAAAACCAACTCCCCCCCAAACTCATAGCGTATAAATGAGTGCCAAGTGCCCTCAATAGCATCTAAAATAAAAAAAGAAGAAAGAAACAAAATTACTGCATTGTCGAACCCTACAGTAATTTGATAAGACCGTGAAAATGCTTGATATTCCCTAAGTGCCATGCATCCTCCAGTCAGAGAATCCACATTCTCATCCTGATTTTGGCACTAATAACCAAGTGAATATGGACAAAGTCAGTTTCATCTTCTGAAAACTACAATAATAATCCCCGTGTACTGTACAGGGTTGCTAAGAACCAAATGTCCTTGGAATCTAATGTCCCACACTTTAAGAAATAGAGGAGTGTGTGTTATATGCTATATTTAAATGTTTTTGATTTTGGGGCACCTGGGTGGCTCAGTTGGTTAAGCATCTGACTCCTGATTTCAGCTAAGGTCACAATCTCGAGGTGTTCGTGGGATCAAGCCCTGTGTTGGGCTCTGTGCTGACAGTTAGGAGCCTGCTTGGGATTCTCTCTCCCTCTTTCTCTGCCCCTCCTCCTGCCTCATGTGTGCCACTGTCTCTCTCTCAGTAAACTTAAAAAAAAATAATAAAATGTTTTTTATTTCAGTATTTTTTTTTAGTTTTTACTTTTTGAACTTATTAAAGGATATTTTATTCATCAGGACTATTATCT